GGGGCGGCGAGGGCGGGGCTCCTGGCGGCTGCTGCTGTTGCCCGACCCGGGGGGGGGGGGGGCGAGCAGAACCCGTCCGCCACCCGACGGCCAAGGTGGCGTTACTCGGTGTCACTCCACGTGACACACGTTACGTCGGTGTCACGCATACGACCCGCGTAAAGTGACGTCGGGGTGACGAAAAGGTGACGGCACGCTGGCACGATTTGCGAAAATTACTGGTTACTGCTTCATTATCTAGCGACGTTATCTACATTTATAGTGCGTGCAACATTCACTGCTCCTGGGACAGGATGCGTTTTCCTCGACCCGGCATACCGGGCACGGACGCTACCGACTTGGCCACGACGGAACGATACAGAGCCCAACTTTCGGCGGCAGCCAGATCTCAGCTGTGACTGACGCCCGAAAACACTTGGCCAGCGGAGCAGGAAAAATTATCGCGGACGGGATTCGAACTACCGACCGTCCCCAAGATCTGCCAACCATCATGATTTAACACGCTCGGCTACCAGCTTGCTTTTCCGAGCCTGAGGTCTGAGCTCGGTCCTCCCTAACGGGAGACAAAAAGCGACAAAGAAAAAATTTGCCCCGCCCGGGAGTTGATCTTACAGGGCCGACAATTTTGGTTCGGATGAAGCTGCATGCGGTCATGTCGACTGTCTGTAGCTACAAACGAAGTGGCGCAGAGTGTTCGAACCTGTGACTCGCAAGTTTTTGGTCGGTGAAAAACCTCAATTTGATGGAGATGTTTTCTTACGAGAAAATATTTTGTCGCAGAAGCTCGGCTATCTCCGCTTCCCGAATTTCCAGAAACTCAGTCCATCCCCTGCACAACAGCCAACCACGACGGCTTCTAGATCCTCTGAATAACTTCAGAGGTTCCGTGCGGAGGAAACTGGTTACGCACCGGTCGGGTTTCGAACCCGAGCCGGACCCGACTTACCATCCAGCCACCACGCACGGAGACCACTGAGCTACCACGGCAAGTGATTGTAGGGCTGCCCACTGCGGAAACGCTTGCGCGCAACGGACGAGAGAAACAAAATTGTGAAGTTACAAGCCGCTCACAGTTGGTGCTTCGAGTCCTGGCCGTGGCACGTTGTTGTTTTTGTTGTTTTTTTTGTTTTTTTTTTTGTTTTGTTTATCCCAGTATGCGAAAGGCAGTGTCCGAAAGCGTTTGGGCTGAGAAAAATAATATCGATTTGACCGAGGTTTAAACCGCTGACCATCGCATATCGTGTGCCGGATTGAATGAGGGCGCCTAACACGTCACGACTGTTCCTGCCTGGCGCGTACGGGACGTGCTCGCCTCGGGAGCGCCTGCCAACAGTCGGGTAGGCAACGCCGCAGTGCACGCGAGCGCAACTGTACTGCCTACCTGGCGGGCGGCCCT